TGCAGAGAGCCTGTGTTTTTTTGGATCATGAGTCCCAGAATTCCCCAGACTTGGGGGTCCAAAAATCCCAATTCCTCCCATTCCCCCCCCCAAGTGTGGGGGGAAAGACCTGGCCCTTTTGGCACCAAGCCTTGGCCTCTCCCTTTGGCAACCCCACGGGGGAGCCAGAGGTGGTGATGGTTCGGTTCGTGGGAGAGGGGAGGCCTTCTCCTCCCGGCGGTGCAACGGATGGATGTTGGTGTCAGCTTGCGCTTCAGCTGCCCATGAAAACATGGCCTGTCCCCGAACATCTTTGGGGTGTAAAGATCTTGGGCTCCGTGGGCTGCAGAAATTCTCCTGGGATCGATCCTGCAGGTTTAGAGTGGGTTTTGCTTGACCATCGATCCCAAACTGCTTATTTTGGGTACCTGGGGAGAGAAGGTGGGCTATAAATCATCTAAAGAAAATCCTCAGGAAATACAGGACTTTGGGGGGGAGCGGAAATCATCCAGTCTGGGAATAGAGTGGAAGATGCTTTTCGTCCTGCTCCAAGAGCCTTGTGAGATGTGAGATGCCCGGGATCAACGAGAACTATCCACTCTTGGGGGTGCGGTCAGTGAAGGGGCGGAGCCCAGCCGGCGCAAAAGCCCGCAGACGAGCGGCAGGAGGCGGCTGATGAGGATGATGAAGCTGGCGGTGTCGGTGCCCTCGGTGGGGCTGCGGGCAGCGGCGCCCGAGGGCAGCCCGGAGAAGGCGCGCACGGTGAGTGGGGAGGCGGCCGCTGCGCGTCTTGGAATTCGTTACCCGTGGCGTTACCTGCGCGTTTCTTCTGTTCCGTTCCTCCTGGCGGTGGCGGGGCTCTCCGAGGAGGCCGTCGGAGCAACGGGGACGGGGCTTCTCTGCCTCTGCCCCGAAGGGGAAAGGGGGCGAGCCGGGAGGGCGCCGGAGAGGCCCGGATCCTCCACCAAAAATAGCCCCTTAAAAAAAGCAGGAGGGGGGGGGCTTCTGGGTCCAGAAACTTTTCAAAGTCCGCTTTCTCAGGCGTCTGGAATGGCAGCGCCAGTTTAGCAGCCCGGCGCCCTCGCGTTACTTTTGGGGGATGACCCCCACCCCACCCCCAGCATCTCCCACCGAAAAGTAACTTTTGTGAGCGCGCGGATGCCGCGAAGGAGAAAAAGCAACTAGTGAGGTCGGGGAATGCAAGAAAGAACGAGCCTGGTAACCGCGTTAATTAAATCAACCGTGTTTAATTGAATGAATCACATTAATTAAATGCACGGAAGTAATTGCAGCGGCCCTTTTAAAGGACAGCGTTGTTGATAGTAATACGAGTGGTGGGATTAAAAGAAAAGAGCTCTCGCCCATCCTGCCAGAGGCAGAGAACTAAATTTCCCTGTTGGTGGTTGTTTAAAAGCCCAGTGCCCCGCTTGGAAAGGGCCCCATCCTGCTTAAAACGCTCTCGGGCCGGTTCCAATGTAATTATGCAGCTACATATTCCATATTGGCGCCCCCCCCCCCCGCGCGAACTGGGTCTTTAATTAATTTACCAACTTCTGGAGGATGGAAGGCTGATGGAACCAGTGGTTACTAGGAGAAGCACCTGTTTCAGGAGGTGGTGGGGACCCATGGGACTCTCTGTTCATTGATCAAACTCCAGGATGTTCGCCTTACTGCCAACACTGTTTCAGATGGCCGTGTAAATAACACTGAGCTTAATCAATAGTTTAAGCTCAACACACACACACACACACACACACATATACATATACAGTACATATATATAACTGGATGACATCCAGTGAATAAATTCAGTTTATCTGGAAGATGAGTCAATATATAAATATATAAATATAAATAAATAGATAGATATTGATATATAAATATATCAATATATATAAACTTCTGAACATTGAGGTGTTGTCAGAAGTTTGCAAAACTTCTCTTCCTCTGCCCTCTCCCCACCCCACCCCCCAAAAAAAACCCTGTTGAGGATTTTGCCGAGGTAGTTGCAGGCATCTCTCGGTCTCTCTCCAAATGCGTGTGGTTCTGGCTTCCCTTTTTTTATTCAGCGCAAAGTTTATTTAGTATGCTCTCTCCACCCTGCTGGCTGGTTTGAAGCCAGGCGTCACCTCTACTCCTCAAAGAAGCCTTTTGTGATGGGATGTTTTTCCATTCCCCCCCCCAACACACACACACACACTTTGCTTTAAAGAGAGACCCAGCTGCAGGGCGCTCTGGGGAAAGAAAGCAAAAAGGCAGAAGGCCCCAGGGAGGCCCCTTTCGGCGCCCAGTGTTGGAAAGACATCCTGGGGGTAGAGCTGGTGGGTATGCCCCCCCAAGCCACCCCCAGCAGGATCCAAAGGGGTGGGCCTCTGACTCCTAGGACCTTCAGGCAGCAGGAAGTCTTAAAGGGTGGGGGACGATGGGCAGAGCAGCTTCCCTCTGACGCACCTCTGGCATCGTCCCCGATTGGGACAAGGTGGTCAGCAAACACCGTAGCATGAAGGCAAGAGGAAAGGGTTAGGGTGGGAGGGGGACTTGGCGCCAACCGGACATGATCCTCTTTGACGTTGCAGGTGTTTCAAGTGGACGTCCTGTACAACGGCAGGAAGCATTCCCTCAAGAAGCGCTACACTGAGTTCTACGCCCTCCATAAAAAGGTGAGGGGTGGGGGCTTTTACCTGTGAAAAGCAGGGTTGAGACCTGCCTTTGCTGGCCTGTCAGAATTGGTCCCTCTTGGACACCCCTTTCCTCTAGATGGCATTTGGCAGCATTTCTGGATCTATTCATGAACTCCCTTTGGGGTCCCCTTTGTCTTGCACTGCACCTCCCTGGGAGAGGAGCCAGCCTGGGTGGCCTCGGGCCAGCTGCACGGACTCAGGATACCACGCTGGAGTATTCTCTACTAAGAAAAGTTCCCCATAAGTCAACATTGACTTGATGGCACTTGAGGATGATGATGGTCTTCCGGTGAGCTCAAGGCGGTATTCATTGCTCTTCTTCCCACTTTTATCTTCCCAACAGCCCTGCGAGGTAGATCAGTCTAAGAGAGAGACTGGCCCAATATGTTTCCATATTGCTGGCAAAGCTTTTGTACCCAGTTGCTGAGGAACGAAAGTGGAGGGTGTGGGGGGGTTCGGTCCTCTTCTCCTCCTATCTGGCCTGAGGGCTTGCATCCAGCGCCTCGGGGTTGGCCATTGTGGGAACAGACGGCTGGCCTAGATAAGGCCTTGGGTCAGGCGATGCCCCAGGGCTCTGCGGATGCTTTCGCTTTGACCAAGGCAAGAAGACACTAAAAGGCAGCCCCCCCCCGGCTCATAAGAAACCCTTGTCGGATCAGTGATGCTTAGACTTTCAGCTGTTTTGGACTAGAGCTGAGCACGAACCAGGAAATGAATCCGGGCTGCCCACGAACCACCCCTAAACCCTGGAAAAACTAGACAATTCACTGTTATTCTGATTCATGCCTGGAGGGGAGGAGACCCTGGCACCCCGTTGCCTCCCTCCCTCGTCTCCCCACCACGTCCTCTTCCTCCTCTGCCACCACCGTCTTCATAGGCAGAAACGCAGGCCTCCCAGGAGGAGGAAGGAGAGGAGGTGGTGGCAGGACCAGGTAGGGGGGCCGTGGGGGCTGAGGTATGGGGGGGGCATCCATTTTGCCAAAGCGAAACAAAGCACCGAGCAGAAAGAAGTTCAGCCTTCCATTTGGTTTCTGCAAAATGGGATCCATGAACCGAACCGAGAACCAGCCCAGCTCGCGTTTCGTTGGGTCTGTGTCCATCTCGGTTTTCGACTTCAGACCCCTCCAAGAAGCCCCAACCGTTCTGGCTGGCGGTCCAAGGACTTTGGGAGCTGATGTTCGACTTTTTGGAAGCCCAGAGAAGCCGAGAGCCAACTTGAGGATGCGACGCCTTCTCTCTAGAGTTCTTTGAAGTGCTGTTTTTCCTAGATCAAGGGACGTGGTGGCGCTGCGGGCTAAACCGCAGAAGCCTCTGGGCTGCAGGGTCAGAAGACCAAGCAGTCGTAAGATCGAATCCACGCAACGGAGTGAGCGCCTGTCACTTGTCCCAGCTCCCGCCAACCTAGCGGTTCGAAAGCATGCAAATGCGAGTAGATAAATAGAGACCACCTCGGTGGGAAGGTAACAGCTTTCCGTGTCTAAGTCGCACTGGCCATGTGACCACGGAAGATTGTCTTCGGACAAACGCTGGCTCTATGGCTTGGAAACGGGGATGAGCACCGCCTCCTAGAGTCGAACACGACTGGACAAAAATTGTCAAGGGGAACCTTTACCTTTACCTTTTCCTAGATCAAGAAGCGATGCCAGGTGCCTGACTTCCCGCCGAAGCACGTCCCTAACTGGATGGCCAAGGTGATGGAGCAGCGACGTCAAGGCTTGGAAGCTTACCTTCAGGTGGGTGGAAAGGCCGAGGACCGCCTGCATGAAGATGAGTCAGGAACCAACTGACCGGCTTTCCTAGCCAGTCGGGCTGGGCGTGGGGTGCTCACTGGGTCTCCTCGTTGCAGGGCGTCCTCTCGCTCAACACGAATCTTCCCAAGGAGCTCCTGGACTTCCTGAAGCTCGGGCATTTCCAGCAGGACCCCAAAGCCAGCAATTCAGAGTAAGTGTTCTTGGACTGGGAGGCGGAATAAGGAACCACTCCCCGATCCCCAGAGCTAATAGACACAGAATGTAAGGCAATACTCTGGTTGGTGTTTGCTTATATTTTTGCCAAAACGTATTGTTAGGTGTGATCAAGTCACTCCTGTCCTACGGCAGCCATATGGATTAGTGACCTCCAAAAGGTCGTGTCACCAGCAGCCCTGCAGAGCTTTTGCCGACAGTGGCTTCCTTTAGAGTTAATCCATCTCATATTTGATCTTCCTCTTTTCCTGCTGCCTTCAGCCTTCGCCAGCCTTTTTTCCAATGAATTTCCCCTCCCCCACCCCTTACGTGCCCAAAGCATTCTTTTTTCCAATGAATTTCTCCCCCACCCCTTACGTGCCCAAAGCATTATGGCTTCAGCTTAGTCCTTCTTGATTCTAGTTCAGGCTTAATTTGATCCCGAACCCACTTATTTGCCTTTTTTTTAATGGTCTGTGGATTTGCACACCACCACATTTTAAAGGAATACATTGTTTTGGGGTTGGCTTTATTCACGGTCCACCTTTTGCATCTGCGTATAGGAATTGGGAATACTGGCCTGTAAATGATCTTCCACCTTATTCTTGAGCGAAACATCCCTTACACTGGACGATCTTTTCCAGTTCATTCATAGCTGCCCTTCCCTAAATTAGCTGAATCCTGCAAATTCTAGAATGAGCCTCCATAAAATGGGGTGGGTGGTTTTCTCCTGGAACTTTGCACCCCTCCTGCTAGTTCTAATAAAGGGGGGGGGGCTTTTTCCTTTTGTTTTTGACAGCCCCAGTTGCCTGCTCTTCCACCGACCTGTTATAAACTTCCGCAATGATCCCTATATACACCCGTTCTTGACCACAGGTAAGTTCTGGAGCGAGGGAACAGGGGACAATCCCTTGGGAGGTGGGGGTGGGATTCAGGTTGGTCATGGAAGATGACCACCTGTTTTCCAGCAATAACGCAAGCACCGTGATCGGATGCTTCTGCTCTCCTTTTGCATCCTTGGGTCTGTGAACTGGAGCCAAGGCAAAATTAAATGGCTGTTTCTTCCCTCTGTATTTTAGAATATGTGGCGCATTTGTATTTTTTTAAAAAATATATGCAAATAATGCAACAAGTTCAAGTTATCTCAAAGACTGGGTCTCCCTTTATGAGCCTGCCCTGGCGTTAAGATCCTCGGGGGCGGGGGGCTTGCTTTTGGTCTTGCCACCTTCAGAGGTGTTTGGTGGGGACCCAGGAGAGGGTCCTCTCTGTGGCTGCTCCCAGACTTTGGAACTCCCCCCCACTGGAGGCCAGAGGGGCCCCCATCTCAGCTGTCCTTCTGCAAGCAGGCAAAAGACCTTGCTCTTCTGGCCAGATTTCCCTCAGTGACCAGCTGCCTGAATGGGAGTTTTTAAATACTTCTCTACTTTGAATGTGTTTTGGGGTTGCTTATAGTTTCTAGTACGGCATTTGTTTAATCCTCTTTAGTGTTTGTATACTCATTGTTGTTAGTTTAAATACTGTCTCTTTTAATGACGTAAGTAAACCACCTTGGGTCCTCTTTAAGGAGAAAGGTGGGATAAATTTTAAAAAATCAAGTATTTAAGAGCCACTTAATCAATGAAGAAATGAACAAGAACATAAGGCAAGGTGGGAGTTTCATTAATCAGTTGAAGATAAACCAGAAATGTATCAGAGGAGCCAATGGGGCCAGGGGCCTTGAAGGAGTGGGTGGACGAGCCGGATGAGATTATAGCAGGGAGAAGGAATATTGTAGCCTTCTCATGTAAAAAATCAAGTATTTAAAAGCCACTTAATCAATGAAGAAATGAACAAGAACATAAGGCAAGGTGGGAGTTTCATTAATCAGTTGAAGATAAACCAGAAATGTATCAGAGGAGCCAATGGGGCCAGGGGCCTTGAAGGAGTGGGTGGACGAGCCGGATGAGATTATAGCAGGGAGAAGGAATATTGTAGCCTTCTCATGGATGGGACTGTCATCCTGGTCTTCTAGGAGCTGAAGTCGAAAACACATTTGGAGAGCCAGAGGTTCCCCCATCTCTGCTTTCGATGGTACTTCTGGAGAAACAAGGTTGTCTTAAGCAAAAGGGGCCAAAAGCCTGCAGGAGGTTGTGCCCAGGCTCTTGACCCACCTATCTGCCCTGCTAGGCTGGGAGGAACAGTCACTACCAATGATATTCTTTTGGGGGCATGATTAGCACACAGGACCCTGGTCCCATGTCATCTCTAGCAACACGAGCGACCTCTGCCGGTGGGCTACGGGACACAGCGCTGGGCACGAGATGTTCCCGACACTAACCCGACTCCTTTTTCCTGCTCAGATCCGCTGCCCGACGTGGTCCTGAGTGGGGTGCTGCAGGGTCTCTATTCTCCCGAGACCCTCGCCTGCCTGAAACCCACGTTCTTTGTGGGTACCCAACGGACGCAGCTCCCCCTCGACTTGGCTTCTGCTCCTTTGCTACCCGTCTAAGAAAACTCTTTGAGCGTGGAGGTGGCTGGTCTCTCCCAGAAACCCCTTCGACCTCCTCTTATCGTGAAATAATAAAGGATCTGGAGGAGAGGAAGGTGGATGTTGACCTGCGGCAGGAATTCTTGGGGCGCCACCCCGTGCAAAACCTCCCCTAAAGGCCAGAGAGAAAACGGACCCTATTGTCTCGAACAGGCATCACTTAGGCTGCGTTTGTCCTCACATGATTTGGGGGTGCCTCTAGGGGACGTGGTGGCGCTGCGGACTAAACCACGGAAGCCTGTGCTGCAGGGTCAGAAGCCTAGCAGTCGTAAGATCGAATCCACGCGACGGAGTGAGCGCCCGTCGCTTGTCCCAGCTCCTGCCAACCTAGCGGTTCGAAAGCATGAAAATGTGAGTAGATAAATAGGGACCACCTTGGTGGGAAGGTTACGGCGTTCCATGTTTAAGTCGCGCTGGCCATGTGACCACGGAAGATTGTCTTCGGACAATACGCTGGCTCTATGGCTTGGAAATGGGGATGAGCACTGCGCCCTAGAGTCGGACACGACTGGACAAAAATTGTCAAGGGGAACCTTTACCTTTACCCTCAAGCCCTGGTTAAATTGAGGACAGTTCCAAGAGCATCAGGGAGTCACACGCTCCTTTCCTCTGCCTTAAAAGCCAAATGTGCTGCTTATATACCACCCCATAGCACTTCTAGCACTCTTGGGGCAGTTAACAATTATGTAGGCTACACATTGCCCCCCCCACGAGCTGGGTACTCAATTTACTGACCTCAGAAGGATGGAAGGCTGAGTGAACCTTCAGACGGCTACCTGGGATTGAACCCCGGGTCGTGAGCTCAGTTTTGGCCACAGCACAGCAGTTTAACCCCTGCGCTACGGGGCTGGCCTTAAGGCTCCCCTTGGGGCCAGGCTAACGCCATTGGGCTGCAACAGTCACAAAGCTGGCACCGCTCACAGCTGAGATACCAAAAAAGTGCTCCTGTCCTCACCATTTGCTCCTGGGATCTGGAGAACTTCCTAGAGTTCCAAGCCATGGGAAGGAAGTGACTCACAGCAGGGAAGCAGAGGTAATGCCCTCCATATCCATAGGTTTCTAGGACTGGAAGCAGATGCAGCTGGGCCAGGATGCCACTCCAGTTGTGTCTGGTGTTAGGAAATGTTCTCCCACCTGCCTGCAGCCTGAGCCTTCAGAAGCAATACAGAGGGAAAGACTTGGACCGACTCCACTTAGCCCAGTCCTGTCTCCCTAGGTTTCCGACAGGAGCCTTTCTGGGCATGCCTGGTGGCCTCTGATTTAATTGCTAAACACATTGGACCAGGCTGACATTCCAAAAGCAGATGAGCTTTGTTTATTTAGGGATGGGACGGGGGCTGCTTCATCATCACCCTTGCCTAGGCTATGAAAAGCAGTATGGCAGACGACGTCAGTATTGGCCAAACTCTAGATAGGAATCTTAAGCCCTGGGATGATGGATATCCAGATGTTCTTGGACCAGAACGCTGGTCACTGGCAGATGATTTAAATTCCAAAAGGATTTTGCAAGGCTCACATCCTCGCGGTTGACAGGGCCAACGGGTAGGATCAAAAACATCAGCGTTGCTTCCACTCAGAACACCTCCTGCCGGGCATTTCAGAGACATTGAGAGTGAAGGAAAAACCCAACAACACAAAAACTAGGAGAACCGCCACCGTGGAAGGGAGCGTGACCCTGAGGCCAGCAGCTCCCGGCTTCTGCTAAAAGATTACATTTTCGGGGCTGTTCCCGCTGTTTTCTCAAACAGAGTAAATGCCCTGCTTTGCTCAGAAACACAGCGATGCCTTTGGGTGTTGACTGTGCAACATTTGCTCATCGTCTGGGGACCTCCTGATTTGACTTTCCTCTTGTCTGAAGGTCACTAAAAGGAGGTACTGCTGTCCTAACTAGTGGGTTACACGGGTGTTTGTTGTCACCTACCATTCCTGCCTAAAGCAGCCTAGCCACAAGCCCAGGGCAAAGCCACTGGGTGGGAAGGACGGAGACAAAACTGCCAGCAAGCGAGGCACTAGTAGAAAAACACAATGGTCATGTTTAATGGCCCCTGTGCTTCTTACAAAAAAGGAATGAGACACCCAATACCTCCACGCAGGAGGCAACCCCCCCCCCCCGGATGCCCACGGCCCGCGGAGGGACTGATGGAATGAACTGTTGTTACAGAAATGGAGAGAACCATCACCATTGAACCGGCCGAGGAAAGCTGGCCACGGCGGAGGTGGCGAACCGCCGGCACCCGCCGGATGTCGGATGGTAATGAGGCCTCAGCATTGAGTGTGGGGCCCCCCAGCCCTTTGGCAAGCCAGAGTCTTCTCCCCTGGCCCTTTCTGCAGCCGCGAGCTACTCTTTGGCGATGGCAAACGGTTTCTCCACCTCGATGGTGTTGCAGTCGACAATGACGACATCCTTCAGGGGTTTATCCCGACTGTCCGTCTTCGTGTTCTCGACCTTCCGCACGACGTCCTAGAAGCAGGCAAGCAGCCGGGAGGAGAAAGACAAGTGATCAGGGGGTGAGCTCACCTCACAGGGAGGTCACAACACAAAGCCAGTATCAGGGATGTTTCTGCCCGCCCACGTGGGCTCCATCCTCAAAAGCTAGTTGTGGTTCTGGACTACAGGCCGGGCTGGCTTTGGAATCTCAGAACGGCCGTCCAAAACGAGAGTCGCTTTTCCGAAGCTGTGCCTATTTCGGCTGGTCCTAACACCTGGAATGGGCAACGTTCTGTTAGCTTCCCTTTAAAAAAAAAGTTAGGAATAAAACACCATGTGCTTCAACCCGAGGTTCCCAGAACTGTTTCCGGTACAAAAGAAACACAATTCAAACTTCATAGTAGCTCCCAGGGAAAATGAAAAAGCGTGCAAACGGTGTCTAAAAGATAAGCTTGCCTCCAGACAAACTGGGTACAAAACTAAATGGTACATCCAATGGATCTGAAACTGAAAGAGTAGTGTTTGTGTGTGTGTTTGTATGTGTGTGTACACACACACACACACACACAGAAACACACACCTTTATTTCAATTTTTAAAAGCCATTTTAAACTGAAATACAGATTACATCCTGAGACTGTAGTTTCTTCTTCAGAATCCGATCCAGGCAAACTGGCCTTCTGGGGATGAACGGGAGGTTTTACAGATTGAGGAAGTCATCAAGGGGAAGCCCTGTTGCCACCCACAGCCTGCCCCCCATCTCTGCCAGCTGTGGGATGCAGAGAGAAGATTCCCATTTCACTGGACGGGTGAAGAACGTATTGGATTACAACTCCCACCAGCCGTAATCAACAGTTCTTGGGTGAAGGACGATGAGAGTTCCAGGTCAAGCCATACCGGGAGGGACCACAAAATCCTCATTCTTGACATTGCACACAAGAAAGAAGGCTCGCGGCGTCAATCCCAAGCTCTTTCTTTCATGACCAGGAGGCTGGCCTTAAGAGTCTAAACCAGTGATGGTGAACCTTTTTGAGCCTGAGTGCCCAAACTGCAACCAAGACACCTGGAATATTTTCCTCTTTCAGTCCCCTCGTTGCTGCCACTAAAAAACCCGTTAAGGTCCGGTTAAGCCACACCGAGAATAAATGGTTCTGTACAAGATCGAAGCCATCCTTACCATCCCTTCCAGGACTTTGCCAAAGACGACGTGCTTGCCGTCGAGCCACGACGTCTTGACGGTGGTGATGAAGAACTGAGAGCCGTTTGTGTCCTTGCCGGCGTTGGCCATGCTCACCCACCCGGGCCCGTAGTGCTTCAGCTTGAAGTTCTCGTCCGGGAACCGGTCACCGTAGATGCTTTTGCCTGGCAGGGAGTAGAGAACGAGCCATTAGCAGGGGTGTAGCAGTAGAATTTACAAGGACCGGCGGTAGTTCAGGACATCACCAAGAGTTCCCTAATTAACACGATACATTAGGATCTCTGTACCCACAAGGTATTGGTCTCAAGCCCCCAGCGGATGCCGGAAACTGCAGATAATAGTGAACGTTATACACAGCATGGTAAAAGATAAAACGTCCAGAAAAAAATTGTTTTCACCATGTATTACTAGCAATGGCTACTAGAGGGAGCAAGAGACCATGCTATGTACAGTAGGACCCCCTTATCTATGGGATCAGTATCCACTGATTCACTTATCCAGTGTGAAAGTATTAAAAACAGAAGAAATTTAAAAAAATTCACATGTATTACCAGAACCAGCCACCGTGATATGAATATTTATGACTGAAGAATTAATAGCATGGTCTCTGGCCCTCTCTAGTGGCCAGTTTAGGTAAATGCATCATGAAAATATGTATTTCTAGTTTTTTTTTCTTTTAATGTTATTAATATTTTCAGACTGCGGCTAAATGAAACTGCAGATACCAATCCCACAGATATTGCTACTGCTGCCGTTTCCTTTTTCCTCAGCACTTAAGACGTGTATGTTAAGATTTTCTTAACGGTGTACAGAAATTGAAAAGCGAAGGTGGTCTTTGCCTGCAGACTCACAATATAACAAATACAATACAAGAGGAGGCTGGAGGAGGGATGAGAAAACCAAGTGGTGGAACCACCACCGTACCTTCACTGGCCAAGGGAAGAGGGGTTTCCTGGGAGCACCATCTCCTGCTGGAGCTCCTTCTTCCAACCAGGCAGATTGGCCCTGCAGCTCTCTCATCCCCGGTCAATGTTTCTAGGTTCCCACACCCCACCCACCTTCTAAGGTGCAGCACAGGTGGGCAGGGCTATCTCGGCTGGATCTGCCTCCCCCTCTGGAACCTGGGGCACTCTGAGCAATCCAACCAGGCAGTCACTGTTTCCCTCTAGCCTTTAACACAACTCAATACTTCTGCTGCTAGCTAGACAGGGTTCAGTACCCACAGCATTTCATTTCCATCTTGCACTTTTAATATGTTTCTCACCACCTGGACCGAGAGGTGAGACAACAAATACATTAATAAAACAAGTTGCATATAATATCTAACCTAAGAGTAAATTCTATTATTCCATTATTTCACCAGAGGGGGATGTTTGGAAAAAGCTTCCTTAAACCAGGAAAAGATGACCCTCAGATAGGAAATGCAGCTCTCATCATCCATCACTACAGGCTAAACTAGGCTGATGGAACCCGTAGTCCAAGAACGTACAGAGGGCCATGCACTCCCTACACCTGCCTTCAATGAACAGGTGGCCACTGACCATACCATTCCCTAACTTCATAGACGTTTAAAGGGCAACTGGGCCCATCACAGAGGAACAGGCCGCCCACGGCTGCTCCACCTGATGGTTCTGAGATGCTGCTTCTGAATGTTTCCTGATAGGGCAAACTGTCCTTGCACCTGGCTTGTGGGCGTCTGCTCTCTCTCACCTCCTGTTCCATCTCCTCGTGTGAAATCGCCTCCCTGGATCATGAAGTCCTTGATCACGCGGTGAAATTTGCTCCCTTTGTAACCGAACCCTTTCTGAAATTGAAAAAGGGTCAAGGAGTGAGGACCACGCGCAAATCCCCAGGACCTGCTCCAATACTCTGTGCAGTTAGCCTTCCTCGGGGCCTCGACGCAAGAAACAAGACTCTCTTCTTCTCCTCTGCCAATGGCAGAGGGTTCCAGCTGGCTGGGCAAAGCGGTGGAAGTTCTAAGCATGCTTGAGGAGGCCTCTGGAAGCTTTAAATGTTCTGGCCTGCAGCTCCCAAGAGCCCCACCTGGCATGGCCAGGGGTAAGAGGCTGTTGAAGCTGTAGCCCCAAACATCTGGAGTGGCGGTCCCCAACTTTTTTGGGACTGTGGACCGGCTAAGGAAGGCAGGGCACCCTCCCTGTGCTCTGTGAAGGAGCGCTCTCTCTCTCATGAAGGCGTGGACGCTCTCTCGGGCGCATGCACAAAGTGGTGGGGAGCGCCCTTGTGTGCCAGCACATGAAATCACCCCCCTACCCCTTTGCGCAGGTGTTTGGGCACATGCATGAAGGGGTGTGGGAGTGCTCATGCCAGCACTGGCAGACAAAGCAACTGGAAGTGGGTGGGAGGTCTGTCTTCATGGCCTGGTCTGGCTCGGGCCATGGACTGGGGGTTGACGACCTCTGATCTGGAGGGTTGGCGTTTCCTTCCTCCTGTTCTAGGATAAGAGTCTTTGCTTTATTTATTTATTTATTTATTTTATTTTATTTATATGCCGCCCACACTACCCAAAGGTCTCTGGGCGGCTTACAGCATTTAAAATACAATAAAGATATGTACAATTCAAATACAATTAAAATATATACCAAATTGCCATCAGACCCACAGCTAATATTATTTCAGTTAAAAGCCTTCTGGAACAGGAAGGTTTTGACCTGGCACCGAAATGTTATCAACGTCGGCGCCAGATGAATCTGTTGGGAGGGCATTCCATAGTCGGGGGGGGGGGCAGCTGCCGAAAAGGCCCTTTGTCTGCAAGCCGTCCCTCTTACCTCCTTGATCTTAACTGCCGGGTAGGCTCATATGGAAGGAGGCGGTCCTTCAGGTATCCAGGGCCCAAGCCGTTTAGGGCTTTATATGTCAAAACAAGCACTTTGAATTGGGCCTGGGCAGCAACTGGTAGCCAATGTAACTTATACAGAATCGGCTTGATATGTTCCCTGGTGGCCACACCACTCACCAGCCGCGCCACTCGATTCTGAACCAGTTGCAGTCGCCGGACCGTCTTCAAAGGCAGCCCCACGTAAAGCGCATTGCAGTAATCTATATGGGATGTTACCAGTGCTTTTGCAAGGCAGGGAAGGCCTTAGCAATTGTCTGCTCCAGAGCAGGCCAGCATGCTGCTTGAACAGGGGACCCCCGAAGGCCTCAGTGCTTGCCTCTACCAGCTACCCAAATGGCCCAATGATCTCACTATCCTACCTTACAGCCTGGTATCCATTGGGGAAGGGCACTGAGACACTTTTGGTAGGGCAAACTAGTTAGTGGATTGTTCTTTTTTCAAAGGTAATGTGAAAAAGGAGAAGCTCAATAACAGAAAGACTTCCATCTTGTCTTTGCACACAGTCCTGTGAAGGAGGAAAGCAGTCCCTGCCTGAAAACACTCATGGAATCAGCTATACCCAAACAAACCTCTGTTGCAGTTTGACTACAATTTAAAGGGGCCCCTCCGGAGAGAATCCAAACACCCACCTAGCAGCTAGCTTAGACACCAGCTTGCCCAAGGACCAGCAACAGAGGTGTCCCTGTTCTTCACAGCTGCCACGGCTGCAAACATCCCCTAGAACAATGGTTCCCATCCTTGGGTCACCCAGGTGTTCTTGGACTACCATCCCCAGAAGCCTTCAGCAGCCGCTGTGCTGGCTAGGGTTTCTGGGGATTGCAGTCCAAGAACACCTGGGTGACCCAAGAACAGGAACTACTGCCCTCGAACCCAGAAGCGGAGAACTCTGAATAAACAACAATAAACAACAAGACTATGCTGGTTTGTATCCCTCGTGGTTCTAAGACACAACTCACCTCTCCTGTAGACAAGGCAACGAAATTCTCCACCGTTTTGGGAACCGTCTTTCCAAAAAGGCCAATGACGACTCGGCCCACGTCTTCGTCCCCGATCCGCAAGTCAAAATATACCTGGATGTGAGTAAAACGAAGGCTGCTCGTGGACTGGTTTCACACTAGAATGCCTCCCGTCTTCTGTGTCCAGCCAAAACACCATCGGTTTCGCCTGACACGTCACACGGACGACGCTACAACTGAAAACAAGGCACAACTCGGCACTGGACTGCAACTCAGAACGCTGTTGGTTCTGCTGCATGTTTTCGGTATTGTTCTTTCAAATAGATGTGATCTGTGGGTTTACAGCTTGGTTTTTATGCTGAGTTTCCATGACGATCGATCGGATCAATTAATGAAGTCAGAGGACTAATTTTAACGAGGTTCACTGCAGCCGAAAGTACCAACACAGTTCTAAAAAAAGGGTAAATGGATTGACAGGCTTAAAGGCTCGGCTTGCAATACTGCAGTTTAAGCACTGTGCCATGGAGGTTTGGTGGCCCCACTGAAAATATCCCCTTCTGTCCTTGAGCTGCTGGAGAGCTCTGTGGAGCCAGAGGTTGGGGGTTCGATTTCCCATTGGGCCCGACTCCATGATCCATGGGGCCCCTTCCAGCTCTGCAGTTCGAAGATCATATTATCCCCTTCTGTGGCAAAGTACTTGAGTAGTTTTTGCTGGGACGATTCAGGCAATCTTGGGGGGAAAACCACGACCTGCATTCATTTTGGTCTGTTTTCACATCAGGGTTTGGTACCAATGCAAACGTCTTAGAACAGTGATTCCCAAACTTGCGTCCTCTGATGTCCTTGGAATAGAAAACTCCCAGAGATCTTCACCACTAGCTGTGCTGGCCACTATTTCTGAGAGCTTTAGTCCAAGAACATCTCGGGACCCCAGTATGGAAGCCACTGGCTTAGAGGCTAAGACAGACGTTTTCTTTAAAAGTTATTCTCAAGAACTTCAGTAGTTTAGATACATGTTCTCTGATGTTTGATTCTTCCTTTTTAAGCTATAAGCTCCTTTATTTTTGGATTCAAACATAATTTAAATTCTACTGACAACTTAAATTTTATTTTTGAATGTACTTTTTTTTGCAACTTCTTGTAGCTGTAAGAATTTTGAATGGAAATCACACCTGTAGCTTTTTATAAGTTGTAAGGAGGCATTTTTAAAGCATTTGTGCCTACAGTTTCTCCATAGCTGTAAGATTTTTGGATGTTTCCTAACTTTGAAGCATTTTTGGGCTTATGGACCCAGAAGCAACGTAAACGAATAAAGCTTGTAGAAGCAGACAAGCTGATGTCACCTGGAGTTATCGTAACAGTGAAAAGACATACCTTGATACTCAGATGAATTTTGTTACTATTTTAAATGTTTGATTTCATTCTGGCATTAACTCTTTTTGGGGATAAAGGCCAGCTGTGATGAACACAGGCTCCCGATTTATTTTTTTTCCCTGGAGATCTATAAAGTTCTATAGGGCTCTTGGGGAGACTTCAGGCATCAGAATCCCCAACCTGACATGGGCTTCTTTTTTTAAAATGAGATATAGCATCATGTACTCTCAAAAGAGTCACGAGGTTGTCTCCAGTTTTTACTGCATTAGACTAATCCAGAGCTCCCAGATGTTGGAAACCTTGTGTGTTTTTGGAAAGCAGAATCTTCTGGCTGCGATCCCAGAAATTCATGTTACCAAGTTCTACCAATACAGTGGTGCCTCGCTAGACTATGATAATCCGTTCCACTGAAATCGCTGTTTAGCGAAATCATTGTCTAGCGAAAAGCATTTCCCCATTGGAATGCATTGAAACCTGTTTAATGCGTTCCAATGGGGAAGAATCGTCATTGTCTAGCAAAGATCGGCCATAGGAAAGCCACTTTGCGAACCGCCGGTCAGCTGTTTAAATCGCTATCTTGCGAAGCTTAGGTCCCGAAAACACGCGTTTTGCGAGCGCGGAGGGAGCTATCAAAATCGTCGTCAGGCGAAAATCGGTTTGCGAAGCAGGGACCAAACATTGTCCAGCGAAATTCCCCCGTAGGAATCACTGTTTTGTGAATCGCTATAGCGATCGCAAAAAGTCAATGTCTGGCAGAAAAAACTGTCATGCGGGATAACTGTCTGGCAAAGCACCACTGTAGCTTTAAAACAGAAACAGGACTTGGGATAGATGAACGCGACGGCCTGACTCAACAACGTAAGGTCTTGTGCTAAAGCTTTATACAGCAGCGAAGTACTAAAGATGCCACCAAGATGCAGATTTGGAAAGGGACACAGCTGCACACACACACACCCCAAATCTCTCAACAGCACATCCTTCCCACTGACCTGCACACTTCTTGGATGGAAAGGGTCTCCAAGCTAGCCAAACCTGTCCGTGCAGGACAGATGGAAGGGAAGGGGGCGGCTGACCTCTTAACTGCACCGGCCTTTCCTAACCACGACTGTTGTCTGTGCCGTACCAGTTCGTAGCAAACGACAGCCGTGCCGACTCCGCTGGTTGTCTGGCTTTGGGCTTTCCAGAGGCAAGTGATCGGCAACTGTACTAAACAGGATGATGGGCTCCATGGTCTTTTGGAGTGATTCCACCAGGCTCTTAATGTAAGCGGCATCTGCCCAGATTTCGCAGAGTGGCTGACAAGAGTCTCTCCTGGCAGCCAGAAGGAGTGGCGGGGAGGGTGGCCGAGTTTAGGGAAGGGCTTCAGCCGAAGACCTGCTGCTGGAGAAGGCCCTCTTCTGAGTCCCACCACGGAGGACCCTTCCATCCGGTGGAGACACCCAGGGCTTTCTCTGCTATGGGACCTCCACCACCGTGGGGCGCCCTTCCCCCTTGGAGGCTCAGTGGGCACCAACATCAGCATCCTTCCAGTTGTGCTGCGGCCCACTGCCTGCTGGGTTGCTTTTTTCCCCGTTTGGGCATTCGGACCCAAAAAGGTTCACTGCTACTGATGTACGTGGGCTACGTGGGGCCCCCTCCGCCAGGGAGTTTTGATGCACGACGATTCGTATCAGCCCCTGCCTCTTGTGGGGATGATGGGAGCAAGAGTGCCATGAGATGCAACGGGGGCCTGCTTTGGGGGGGGGTTACATCCAGAAAACTCGAGATCAAGCCTTCTTCCCCAGGTCTGAACAGGATGATGTACTTATGATGAGACCACCCTTTGCACCGACTCGGTGTGTGTGTGTGTGTGTGGGGGTGTCCATTGC